TAAAATTGTAAACATTTAGTGACACTACGCTAGGCCACTGAGTGAAGCCTGCTTGTCACAGTAAAGAGAAGTCACACACCTTTAAATTTGTCCATAAAATATATCAAAACCATATATATAATAAACTGAAATCAGTTTCACCTCCTTTATTCCCCCCCCCCCCCAACTCCTTCATTGCTGATAAATATTTCCAGAGAAAGAAAAACTATAATTACAAAATAAAAAACATCAATTTGAAATCGATTCTAAAGATAAGAAGGAAGACATTATTAAAGATTACCAAGAAAGAAAGAAATCGGGGGAATATGTATTTAGCTGGGACATTGTTTGCAGAAACCATGTAGTAATTTCCAGCATCTCCAGTCAGATCTCTGCAGACCAAGTGAAGTGAACTGTGAATGTCTGAGGTTGATAAGGTCAGCACAGTTGTTCTACCTGTTTAGGTATCATATTATTGTACAATATACCACTTTAATTATGGCTCTCAGCAGTATGGTCCACCAGGCCTGTAGCCAGCAATTTCAAAAGGGGGGTTCTTTTTCTGAAAAAGTGGACCTTTTTCCATAAATACTTTATGTATCTAGATCAAATTTTACCCAGAGTGGACCTTTTCCCAGCAAAAGGGGCAGTTCTTTCGAACCCCCTGAACCCCCCCTGGCTACGGGCCTGTCCACACTACAGAGGGTGTTTGCTGAGGCTGAGGTGATACATGTTTCAAGTACCTGTTTTAACGTTAATTAGAATTAATACTCTACTGTATGTATTGGATAAAGTTGTCATACAGGGCAAATATATGGAGAATAATAATGCAAATAAAATAATTTTCGCCAGCTTAATTCACCTTTACTTGGTTATTTAATAAAAACATTACAATCACTTTATTCACCATAGCACTTCCTAAATGTCCTCAGGACAATTTTTTCTTAGATTCCGTGCTCTAGAATTCCTGTGATATTGGCTTTTTCACAGATGAAGTTTGAAGTCTTAAATCTGAAAGATATACTTCAGATTAATTGCTTATCTATCAGTAGTTACATTGGATTGACTTGACACAAAAAAATGCCCTGTTTGCATTTTTTAAGTGGAAATCACATTACCAAACTAATTCTCAAGAAATCAAAATGGTTGTAATCCAGCTTTCTGTATGCATACATTTAGACCCTTGCTGAATTGATGTAGTCGTTATGGGATAAGATTTTCAACACAGAACACTGTTTTTTGTATAAAACCATTCTGATCTTGGCTGTAGATCTTCTCAGAAGTGATCTCAGTGAACAGAGCTGTAATCTTCTTCGTACAGACATCTGTCTTCATCTGGCTCTGCTTGGAAAAGGCTCTCAGGTCGATCTCCAGTGGAGACGCCAACATTTTATTACCTGCTCTCTCCATTTTTTTCTGCAGATAAACCAGGTGTACTTATAACTGTGATAACTGCATATTTATTAAAACTGTACTGTATATGTATATAGTCTGCAATAGTTACCTGGGGAGATAGCTGTAAATAATATGCAAGAAATCAAAACTTGTCTCAAGAAAACTCCCAGAATGATAACATGTGAGATTTCCATTTGATTTTCATTCCATAAGCCCATGTCCATTTTATTTTGCTTAATTAAATAAAAAATAATAATAGTGATAATTTTCCTTTACGAGCCATATAACATTTTTTTATGTGTGTGTAGGTAAACTTCCATGCCATTTTTTGCTGTAAGTTTTTTTTTCTTTTTCTGTAAGTGGCAGGTCATAATTAAGTGAACCTAGCATTAAGATAATCTATCCTGTCTGACAGCTTCTTAAATACCTTCATCTCTTCCACCCATTAAGAACTCTTTATTAAGCCAATTTCTTGGTTAATTTGATTTTCTCCACATTAAAACATCTTCATTTGTACCAGCATAGTTTGATGTTGCTATTTACAGACCAGCTTGCAGAAGTTGCTGCTATTCTTTAATGTGTTTATGGGCATGATTTATTCATCAAATACAAAATTTTAGCTGCTCTGGAAATAAAATATTACAATCACAATCAGGTTGGAGATAAGCCTTTTAGTTTTACCTATAGTAAGTCTTAATTCTCACTGTTGCATACTAGCATGTATAGAATACAATGCAATATGTTTGTGCAGCCAGTAAATTGTGTGTTTTCTACCTTGTTTTCCAGGAATCTAAGACATATGCCCCCCCCCTCCTCACCTATCTCATAGGCTTATATTTATTACCTAGATACTTCTGGAACAACTTGATGCTCACTGACAAGGTTACTTTTACTGCTGGGTGGATATTGTAGAAATTCCTCCAAGTAGTAGGTGAAGGATAACCCTTTTCTTTTTTTAATTAGAACTTAAAGTGCATTTTGGAATTTTTAAATATTTTTGGTTAATTTGATGATAAGAGCGGTATTATATATATATCTCTGTTAAATTTTGCAAATTTTGTATTTTGTGGTATTTATTTTAGAAGCAAATGAAGGCACTCTAGGTCATCAGGAACAATTTGAAATGATCAGAATTGTCTTCATTTGAGATTTTCCATAAATATGTATTAATTTTTCCATAATTCTTTGATGACGAATGGATTGGAATGATGGACCTCATCAACCAGTGTTTTTTTGGAAGTGAGTTACACAGTTTTAGATTATACCCATGTAATTTGAATAAAGTGACTGAAATCTTTAACACCCTTTAAGTAATGTAGTGTTAAATCAAAACATGTTATTTTACTAAATTACATATGTTGTACTGATTCAAGAGATCTGTTAGAATAAACTGGGGGTTACACAATAGGGCGGAATTCAAGGTGGTAAGTTTTACAAGACGCAGCTTCCTAAACATCCCGCGCAGCCCTACTGCGTCCTGCGCCATTCTGCCATGTTTAGAAATCTTTAACTGAAGTCAGAACCAATCAAATATCTCTTAAAATACAAAAGATGTAAAAGAAGGCAGATGTTGGAAACAATAGTAAAGATATTTACGAAAGGTGGCAATGGTTTTATGTTTATTGAACAACATGGGTGGTCTCTAGTTTTATTGTTGTGAGGTGTAGTATTTTTAGCTTTGGGATGATTTGCTTTTTTCCCCTTTGTTTTGCTTAAAATTGCATGGTGTTGGCACACTCAGACTTTGGATGCTAGCTAGGCACAGCAAAATTCAAAAGACATTACAAATTCTCATTTCAGATTTTTAAAAAATATGGAAAGGGATCAATTTTGAATTATTTTAGCTTTATCCGAACTCTTAAATTATTTGTGTAGGTTTATTTGAACTGTGTGCAGAGCTTGTTAAAATTGTGGATGTTTGGACCTGTGTGCATGTGTAAGTATGTATAAATGAGTGTGCGTGCATGAGTATGTGCATATGTGTGTGTGTATAAGTACATGTGTGCATGTGGGGGGGGGGGAGAGGGATTCTTCACTTAATTAGTTAACACTCATAATCATTTTGATACTGAAATTAAATGGATGAAATAAAATTCCAATAACAAGCCTGCAGTCCCCAGACTCAGCCACATAGTTTTACTATTAACGTGAACACTCTGCAAGTTATTGGCATAAACTAAGGTAAACCCTGTGTGCAATTTCACGGCAATCTTTTTCCACTGATTTTCTCAGCATGAGCCGGGATCTGCCGCTAACAGTGGTTGATATTCAGAGGAATAAATTCTAGGAAATGTTTCTGAGATGGACCCCTGGGGTGAGGCTACATTTAATTCCAATGCCAGGAGCTACGGATGAAAAATGTGAAAAGTAAGACTGAGAATTCAAATATGCAGGGCTGTGGAGTCTGGGGTTCACGCTGTCTAGCTGTACCTAGTTTGTTCACACTGAGGGAAGTCAATTTGACAAATAAGTGAGAATTCTGCCAGATCTGGTTTTACAGGTTTACTGCCAATTTCCTGGACTGATGCTGATGAAACATTTCCTGGAGGAACCTTAAATACAACAGCATTAAGTAGTTCAGATTTAGAATGAAACCAGAACTGGTTTGGCTTTGACAGTGTTAACCCAAATGTCAACAAAATAGATTTAATATCAATTCAGTGAACTAAGGCTGTATTCCCAAAGCTTTTAGATCGATCTATCCCCGCGGGGAGTCTCACTAGATTACTGTCAGATAATCCGACTTAAATGTCCGTCCCGCCTACTACAAGCTGTAAGGGGGTAATTAACTTTCGTGCCCGCTTGGCTGACAGCTATTTAGCGTGAACCCCCAGGGAGTTAGGTCGATCTAAAGTAGATCGATCTAATCTCTGGAAATGGGGTCTAAGATAAAGGTGGGGTATCTTTTAAGACTACACTCTGCACAGAAACTGAGAGTGAATGTCACAGCGTTCTGCTCAAATTAAGTTGTATATGATCCACAAAGAGGTCAAATCGTTCAGGTATCATGTCCGCCCTATCAGGCCCTGTAAGACAGTTGCTGTCACCCAAGTCACTGCATGAGTTAATGCACTCAACCTGCTGAACCGATATCAAAAGATCAGCATCTTATTTTGATGGAAGCAGGTGTGTTCCCAGCTATACTTGGTGGGTGTGAAGGTTTTACTCGCTGATGGTAAAATAGCAAATATGGTGAACAGGAATGGCTCGCAGCAACTTTTTNCTCTCTGATCCTCTAGTTTTTAATTAACTCTGAGACCTCTGAAGTTTCAGAAACAATGCACCTTTGAACTAATGAATCTTTTGACATTTGGGTAGCAAATCTTGGCTGTAATGCCACTCAAGTTGTTCAGGATTATTTTCAGCTTCCAGATATTGGTGTAATTGAACAGTTATGTATTTTTGCAGTAACATAACTGGCATCAGACAAACATGTTTTGTTTTAGTCTAAAAACTGTTTTCTCAGTTTGAATGAAAAAAAAATTCATATTTTCAAAGTAATAATATCTTATTGTACAATTGGGGAATTTTATATATGCCACTGTTAGCCTGTTTAAAAATTGATTTAAATAAAAAGCCTTGGTAATATTTTGATGATTAACAATAATTGTATTTGTTTTTTCCAGCTCGTGTCAATGATTTAAAGTGACAACATGAAGTTGTCACGAAGTGTCGTCATCTTTCTCGTGCTGAGTGTGCTCATCATTGGGTGTGCAGACAGCAGAAAACGCAGGCGAAATCTCTTCAAACGATGGAAGAACTTCAAGAGTGACAGGGTAAGTTGTTATCCAGAGCTCTTCATCACTGAAGCATCAAATTGATACCTGTACGATGTCCATTAAAGCATGTTTGTTGGGTATATATCGTATAAATACAGAAGACAAAATGATTTATGTGATTGGGTTTCTGAGTACTGCTACAGCTAGTGTAGTGCTGTCATAAAAATCAGAGATGTTAAGTGATAAAAGTGAAAAAAATCTAAGTGTGGAAGTTACAAGCATTTATTTCCTTTCTGATTACATCTTGTTGGGTATGCTGCTTCTACATCAAAGGTGTTTACATGTAGTCTTTTTTTACTTGTACATTACCATCTTTCTTGATTGTTGTAATCATTGTAGAAATCGCTGAGCACTCAATGATAATAAATACATCAAAGAACAAAAATTTATAACAATAACTTACTGACAATTTAAAGAAAAGACTCTGGAATCACAATTTAATGTTTAAGGATCTGAATTCTGAACAAGTATTCTTGGCCCAAATATCACCTTTGGGGAGCATTGTACTGGTACAATATTGTAGCAAAGTGATGTTAACAGCATAACAAAAACAACAATTAACAGGGTGGCTTGGAAGGTCTACATTTTCCAAAAACATTAAACATACTGTGGACAACTACATGTACCAGTATTGGTCCAGTAACCAGTGGCGGAATTAGAGCGGGTGTCAGGGGTTCCTGACCCCCCCCCCCCCCCTTTCAATTTCTGGTCCCCTCTCGACATGAGAATTTTGACTAGCTGAATCTTAATTTTAAACCGTACCAAATGACATCGTTCACCCTCTGAAATACCAAAATTATTCTCATCTGCAGAACCCCCTACAAATAATCCTAGATGTGCCCCTGCAGACCATTTTGTTTGCTGTTTAGAAGGAAAAAAATTAGACAGGTGAAACCCTCTGACCAGTGAGTTCCAAGTATGTTTGGCTTTATGTCCATGACACAATGATTTATATATGTGTACATCTGCAGCAGTTGTCTTGGAAATATGGTGATAAAACCTTTTTTCAGGACTCACCAAAGTCAGATTGCTTTGATGATTTTTGTCTGAAAAGAGGGAGAATAGAAATGATTTTTCAAAGTTAAATATAGTGTGAAAAATACCTGCAAGGCACTTAAAGGGTATGTTTTCCTTTCTGTAAGTCTACTTCAAGCTAAGCAGTGTTAAGTGCCCACATTAAATGTAAATACCTTTAAGTATCTAAACTTTAAAAAGTTAAGAACATTAAAATAAAATCAACTGGTCTTGGTAAGTGTTGACTGCCTCATCAGATAGTCCTTGATTATTTCACCCTGTAGACTGTGTCTGAGGTCTGTTATGGCATTTCAATAGATTTTGTCTTCAAATAACCAGGATCAGACGTGTAATCTGGCAATAATGATTGGGGAAAGGCAGCCAGATAACAGGTAATGTAGGTAACTCTGAAGGCAAGGGAGTGAATTGATTGAAGAGAAGGATTATAATCCAGTTGAACAGATTATGATTGGGGATTTATCTTAGAGATCAAATGTCAGCTCTGGTCTGATAGTCCTGTAGATATCTACTCTGAACATGTATCAAACATGATTTTATGATCAATGTTTTTAATTAAGGGTTGACTTAATCTCATATTTTTCTGTCGGCTCTCATTATAAACAGCCCAATACTTGCTGTCTTTTTTCAGCTATTTTATCTAATTGTTTGTGGTAATTTCATTACAGAATTAACTTTATTTAAGAAATTTGATTTAATTCTGAGTGGCTGTTTATTCATAGTACTTAAATTGATAACATGTCACATTAAGTTTCTTAGCTTTAGTCATTTATTTTTTTATTCACTGACAGTTATTTTACTAAAATATTAATTTTGAAATTACTGTCAAACAGAAAATTACAGCATTACTTTTTTTTAATATTACAAGCAAAGTATGCAGTATTTGATGATTGTTAAATTTATTGGGAAGTACCATAAATTTATCACCATGAAACCAGCCACCTTCTAATTATCAACAACATTATCCTATAAAAAGAAGAAAAAAATATTTTGAAATTTAAGAAAAAAATAGCCAGGTATACAGTAATTAGAGCTAAACTGGAGCTTAGTTATATAGAAAAAAAAAGATAACAAAAAAGAAAAAAAATACAAGACTAAAGACCAAAGATAAAAATTAAAATTTCCCCCTTTTCCACAAATGTGTTGTTTTTTTTTCACTACTGTACTAGAACAGTATGGGTAGTTAGGTGAACTATCTCACACTTTCACATGTGAGAACTGTTATTGTGACAAGGATCTGGTGAACTTTCTGCTGTTTTTGGTTCTGAATTACAAAATGTCTGTGACTGGAGATGAAAACATTGGCTTGAATTTCCCAGCACAAGTTTATTTTTTCTCCAGCTTCTAGTTGTTACTTGACCACAGATGAAAACTTTCAGATAAGTTTTTTTCTCCAGTTTGGATTTTATTTGATTTCTGGTGTGTCTACATCATCGCAAAAGAAGCAGAGATGAGCTTTTTCCACTAAGACACAGAATTTCGTGTTTTTTTTTTTTTAAATTTAATTCTTGTGGTTCATGAAATTTGTCAAGATCTGCAACAAAATGAGACTCTGAGAAAAAACCTAGTTTTTTACTTATACATGTAATTTCCTCATCTGTTTTAGTTACCACTGTTTTAGTGTCTACAGGTGTGACAGGCGATACAGGTATGACAGGTGAGGCAGGGTTCCATGTCCTCAAGCCCCTGTTAACAGGAAGGAATTAGCAGACATATTCATCCTGACTTCTCTATCTTTTTACTTGGTTTCAACTCTAATTTGAAAGCTGCATGCTGCTCTCTGGTTTACAGATAACTTATGGTTGAAACTAATTGCATTCAATTGCTCATTTCCATCTCTCCTGCCTGGTGGGGCATAAGTGTTAGTATTGGGGAAACAGGCTTTAGCTGCTACTTGTGGATGATACCATGTCATGTATTTTTGCTATTTTGTTTTATGGAGAAATGATAAACTTATCTGATGAAAACTCAACTGATGTTTTTGTTTTTGTTTGTTTTTTTTTCAACGTCTATATTTGATAAAATACAAGTACTGGTTGATTGATTTATAAAATGAATGTGCACATTTGATTTATAAAGACATCTGTCTTAGAAAGCTTGCATCTCTGTAGAAAAGATATACACTCCAAACTGCACTCTTACAAAAGCTTAATAAAAAAGTCAAATAAAGCCAAGTTTTTTTTTACCCTGAGAAAAATGTGGTAAATGTTAAAGAAGAAGGAATGACTTCTGCAGATTGATCCCAGCAAATGTGTGAACCTGTTGTTTGTTTGCCCAGCAGTTTGATGCTGACCGCAGTTTTGAAATATCTCAACAACATCCCAACCCTGACCACAATGCTGGCCATAAGGCTGACCACAAGTATCAATAAATTGTCCAGCCTAATGCAAGCATTGCCAAGTTCACTGGTGGCATTTTGTTTTGTGTCAATTAATGGCCTAATATATACACCTGTAGCAAAAGAACTGATTTTCTTAAAAATTGTAACATTTTTTTTCTGAATCAGTGGTATACCATATTCAGATTATTTGACAAAATGATTATCTTTAACCCCATTTTAAAGTAAGGTTTTTATTACTTCTTGTGTTAAGAGTGGAAAACTGACGGATTATAAGACTAAGTTCAAAATTAAAAGTTTTTAGTTGTATGTTCAGCATTTGTATATGTCCATATTGTCCAGTCTGTCATCAGTTGATCACTACAGGGTAGGCAAGTACCTGGTGCTCACAGAATAAATCTAAAAATGTTCTTGTTAATTTCAACGAAGTTGTGTATTTGCAATTGGTTTTTTATTTAAATGCTCATATATGAAGCTTATTAAGCATGCATGAATTGATCTCATTTTGATACCTACATGTATAGAAAACAATAATGGCTGTATGTGTGCAAATGCCTCTCATATTTTGTCTTTTTTAAAATAAAGAAAATCCAGGAGGTCCTATCATGTCTACCTGTCTTCCATCTTTCAAATGTTCATGTTTACAGGGGAAAGAAAACTTGTTTTCCACTCTCTGCTGTCTAAGATATATATGTTTGTGTAAGTACATAGACATATGTGGGAGAGAAGGCATGGTAGTACTTGTCTTGTGTACTTGGTGGTCTGCTGTCTACCTTCCTACAGAAAATTCCTGGAGAAAACTAACTGAGCTATTCCTGTACTCTCATACCTCATCAGTACCTGGAGGCTGCTCATAGCCAACCTTTTGTATCATAAATGTGGCCTTTTTAGTTGTTATTGTTATAATTGTAGCTGTTTATAAGACATTTTAATATGAAGGAGAATGATTAAGTGATTTTAATAGGTATAAGAGATAAGATTAGCTTAATTTGAAGTGGCTGATTCAGAGGTAACAATTAAGTAAGATTTCCTACCTTCAGTTCTGTTAGTTTGATACATCACAATGCTTAATCTCAGTCAACTTTGAAATGGTAAAATTTCCATATTTAAAGTTGCCATGATTATTTTTTTCATGAATAGAATCACTTTGGATTAGGCAGTCATAATGGGTGAATAAACTAGCTGGTACAGGGGAAGTGATATTGGGTATACAAAGAAAAGTATGGTGTAAAAAATCTGTTCAAAGTTGGTTTTATGGAATAAGAATGCTAGTATCACAACAGTAAATGTTTTTTATACATTTGTTACTAAAAAGATGTACCAATCTAAAAATAAAAAGAGACACAGCTCAACTACCAGAGCAGCTTGAATAGCTCTTTCCAGTCAGAATGAGGTAATATCAAGTGCCTGATTAAGTTCAGTTACAGTGTTTACCACCTGATGCTGAGTGTGAGGGTGAAGTACTGTGACATTTTCATGGTGAAGGTGTTCCTTATCTGACCTGTTCAAGAGTCCTGTTGGAGGAGCATGTCTGGGGGAGTGGAGTGCTTCGGGATCCCAGCATTCCTCAGAAAATGCCTCCATGGAGAAGTGGAATATGGTGGGAAAAGGAACAGATTTTAGGCTC